ACTGCAGCTGAACTTCCGGTTTTGATATCTCGTGATCTAGACATGCTAGGGCGACGAAATTTGGATGGTAGGTAGCTGTTGTGCTGGGGAACAAGTGACGTGAGTTTGGACCCCCTAGCGGCTTGCTCTGGAATTGCAGGGGCATTAGTTGAAAAATGTTTAAAGGCGGATAACTCAAGAACCGATTGATGGATCGTCGTGATTTTTGGCATGTAGGCAGCTGAAGTGATGCTTGACATAATGTTATTACAATTATGCAAATATTAATGTAATTTGCATAATTAATGAGGAAATTCTATATATCAGCTGCATTCCATGATAGGACTATTCAAGCTTGTGATATATGTAATGCAGAACGGCAGAAATACAGGCAGATATCGATTATGCAAATGAAGACTTAATTTGCATAATTAACGAGAAAATGTTATAATTACATAGTGGTAATGTCTGGAATTTCATACTTGGGATATTTGAGAGTTATGTGAAGGTGAACATTATTAAACATAATTTATTCAAATAAGGACCTCATTTGCATAATTTATGAGGACATGCTATAATGGCATGCATTGATAAGATAAGACTGTCTTCTGGTGTAGAATATGACCAACAGATATAATTGATGCAATATAGGATCCTATTCGCACAATCAGGGGGATTCATCTATAATTTCTTAGTCATAAAGGCTAACATCATTTGGCGAAGGTATGAGATCGTGGAACTCTAGTATTTATCTGTGCTTGGTCTAATAACCCTCCACCCTCTGGATCCCCGAATTATGATTGAAGTAGCAGGGTGGCATACTGTTTTCAAATATATTAGCTTATTATGACATGAAAATGCACAATATAACCTAATAAAAGAAGTATAGAAGAAAAGCAGTGGAAAGATTTATTGATTATAAAGTTGAGCGTAATATTTATAATACTTCATCAATAGTGACTCCTCCACATTTCACAGTTATTACTCCTCCACTGCGTTTTGGTCTAGTGGCGGTTCCTCAAAAGAGACATCAAACACATGGATTATACTAAATCAATGCAAGTCTGGTTATTCGGGTGATGTTGTATTGGGGATAATGTGTCACATGTGCCCCATTGAGCGCCGACAACACCATTTGATGAGCTTGTACTGACATAGATGTATTTCCCTTGGAACAATGGTGTATCGATTGCAAGTGCAGGCTTCAAAAAGAGGACAGCAGTGTGTTATTATTATTCAGGCGTTCTCTCTTTCATCTCGGAGATATTCTGATGGAATCAATTACAACAGGAAGCAATTTGGCATGAAAAGGATCAAGCTTGTTTATTAGAGGGTCATTAGGGTCTTAGGTTTGATTTGATTTGGTTAGCTGCATGTGACGGGGTGATGATTTGGATATCCATCACTACAATTTTCACATTTGACAAGGAAGAATTATTTTTCTGTCATTCTAGAAATTATATTACACACAATATAGCTGGTATAACTACCCTTTGGCGCAACACACCAGTACTTTGTATAACGTTACAGTACTACCCAGAAATTATTAAATTTCAGTACCTGAAATCATACAAATAAATTCAATGTATGAGTAATTGTTACATTAGCCTGGGTACCATCCTGGTTAGTTAACGTCCGCTCCCACAGTCGCTCCCACCAACATGGAGCTTCTGTAGGAGCAGATGTAAACTAACCAGGATGGTACCCAGGCTAATTGTTACATATGTTTAAGCCAGTAATTCTATCTTTTGTGCACAGAGGACAAACAGGTAGAACTGGGATAAAAGGACATGATTCAGAAAGATCCCCTAGGACATCATGGCACCTGTCTAGTTTCCTCGCCCCATACCCATTCATCAGGACTCCATGACTAGTCTAAAATGGCTCTCCTAAGCCTGCCTCTACCTGTCTCTATCCAATACAGTCTGATAAACTTGCTCTTCCCAGTTTCAAACAAACATTTAGAAACAATTGCCTTGAAAATTTTACCTTGCTTGTGATTCCAACAGATGGCAACTCTTTCTAAGTCCTAATATTTTGCCACTGACTACAGTTGAACTGCATCAAAAGGCAAATCTGTATTTGTGCACTTGCTGTGTTGATTGATCAACAGATGTATACAACATAACGTTACAGTTAACATTACATTTAACTCTACATAACATCTAATTAGGAATGAGTAAACTTTTCAATTGTTTTTTTTTATCAGAATGTGCAGATACATGTAGAAAACCCCAGGCTAGTCAGGCAGATGGTCCAGTTCCTGTTGCATTCTGTCTCCATTTGAGTTCAATATATCGGATTTCCATTATCCTAAGAGCCACCATCCATTTGGTCAATCCAAAAACCTCTTTCTGTACACCGCGAGCCCATCCTTGCCATCTGCCTTCCAATCATCATGACAGTCCTGTGTCATTTTTTTTTTTACATTGGAAGGTCATCAGGTTGAATCTTTTGTGTTAAAAATGCCTGAAACTAGTTCGTTGATGTTAATTACCACAGCTCTGTTCCCTCACAAAGGCAATTGCATGAACTGGCCTTTTAGCAACTAAATGGTACATGTACTTATTATCTGAGCAAGAATTGAGCACTTTGCTTTTGCAGACCGCCTTTTCAATTTACCAAGGACCATTGAAGCATCATGGGAAAGATTGGGTTAGGTTCAGATGTGTGTTCCATTCCTACCCAGGGTTCCCTGCTATTAGGCCACACCAATTTGATTTGTCTGTTTGGATTTCTTTTAGAAAAAAATATAATATAAAGCGACAGGGTAAAAAAATAACAAAAACAGACCTAGTCATGACGTCAACAAATCAGGCTGGTTTATTGTTCAAAGAATGAATTTATCAAACCAATGCATTGAAAAATTGAAAAACTGTAATAACTTAGAAGAAGAGGAGTGTTCTTCAACTTCACTTGATTGTTTGGGCTGATTGAAGCATTTTGGAGTTTTTGGAGATTCAGAACCTGAATCTTAATCTTTTTTTTTTGCAAATCTGAAAAAAATGATGAAAAAGCGGGTGAATCTGAGAACCAATTAATCAAATTAATGTGGCCTTATCTACATCGTCCCTGTTGCTCTGTGATGTATGCTCCAATCAGAACGTCATGACCTTGCCTAGTATGACCACCATTTTGGACAGGACAGATGGGGGTATAAAATCACCTATTGTGTGTTTGGCGCCATTAAAACTTTAAGAGCAGGCAATTACTACAGTACTGCAGCATGACAGGTGCAGGGAATTCCACTGGGAATTCTGATGAATAAATAAATAACAACCAGGAGTCAAGATAACACGAAACATTAATGTTGTGGGCACAACCAGGCACAAAAGTTTGCATTACTGACAATGCTTGTTAGCAGAACAGGTTTGAATATTGCACAATACCACACGTTGCAAGGTCAGCATTCCAGTAGCCTTCAACCAGTTGTTCACAACTTGTTGTAAATTCCACCCAATGTATTTCTAGAGATTTCCACAATAATCTGTTGTCAATGTTATAGAATACCAGGAGGTATAATCTTCTTGAAAATTTCAGTTTTTCACAGAACTTTGGTCTGAGAATGGTTACGTGTATGGCTCCAGCTTGTCTGGTTTGAATGATGATGGATGTTTTTATGTCCCTCTCACCATGATGTATAGCATGAGTCATCATTACCTGCCTGTAACTGTCACTTTACCATCCTTTGGGACCAGGTCTGGCAGACAGATTAACGTGAAATCATTTTCCAAGGAAGCCATCAAGGCAAAGCTGCTATAAGTTACGTTATACTAGCAGGCTTTGTACTAAGTAAACAACAATATAACATAACACCACGCTAGGTAAATGATTTGACGATTAGAAACTTATTTTTGTGCAGTTGCTTTCAAATAGATCATAACATTTTTTATGAATTATATTGACATAAAAACTGTCTGCTTATGATATCATCTTCAATGGAGGGGGGATTCATTTTATGCCTGCAATCGGCTTGACCGTTTGTGCAAAGCATACGCATACCCTGTATTTTATGCATTCTTTGATATCACTCCCGAATATGGTTCAAAGGCCATTCTCTCAAGGCAATTCCCATAACCTGCAGTGAGTTTTCCATGATTGAAAATTCTTGAATTTGAAAAAAGTGTGACAGAACCATCATTCATATGCTCTACAACCTGTTCACTGCAGTCAAATCCAAACATAATTCTGTCAACTACAGAATGACAGCAAATCACTTATTACTTATCTTCCTAAATGCCAGAGTATGTTGGTGCATGTTGGCCAAATGCCAAACAATTTTGAGAAATACTGTCCTATATCCCTGGGCTCTTGTAGATTCCTGTTGACATTACTGGTGGGATTTTCCTGCCCAGTTCAGCTTGTTCCTGTAAATGGCAAAGTGCTTGCAGATGATGCCTACAAGCTGAGGCTTAGAGTAGCCGGTGAAGGCTACTTGTTCAGTCAAGCGAAGGGAGGTTTTGATACAGATCCCATATTCTAGTGGTTTGAAAATGTCCATTGGCAGGTTGACTGTGCACTAGAGTACTTGGTGCAGTACCCCCCTTGTGGTACAACAGCGCCTCCTAGTATATGAGAGGATAATTACAGCCTACACTCACTGCCAATGTGGTTCCAAAGTCTGACTTGATGAATTTGTATCTGTTTTATTCCACACCCTTTGTATTTAGATTCTTAAGTGATAGACATTATGAAAAGAAAAGTGGGAAGTGTAGGACTATAATATATGAGGGTAGTCAAAGTCTCTGTTCTGTATTTTCGTTTACTCTCCAAGCAGAGGTTTGGTTTTGGCTTATTTTTTGGCATGTTCCAAGGATTTTGTCAGGCTTTCTTTTTTGCACTAACATCTTTTTTTACGCCAACTCAAAAATAAGCCAAAACCCAAACCTCTGCTTGGAGAGTATTTTCATTTTCCTGAGTGGTTTTAATCTAGCCAAATACATTATTCTTCTTTACGTTATAGCAAAACTTTCATCAAAACTTACATTGCAAGCTATTCATGTAAATTCGTCTTTCCACAGTTACTTGGCTGTGCGATCCTGGGCGTTGCGATATGGCTGCGTGTGGACCAGAGGACGACACAGTACGTGGACACCGGGGAGAACCTGTCGTCCTACTACATCGGCACGTACGTCCTGATGGCGGTGGGGGGGATCATGATGCTGGTGGGCTTCCTGGGCTGCTGCGGAGCCATCTACGAGTCACAGTGCATGCTCTGTACGGTAAGTATCATTTCAATTAACAGTTGAGTTTTTTATGTTAGCCACACTGATTTAATTTTATGGATGACATCCGTGCGCACACTGATTTTTACCTGCTGTTCATAAAAGTTAGACTTAGAGGATGTCATCCATAAAATTAAATCAGTGTTGCTTTAGTACAAAGTCACTACATAAAGATACACTAAGCTTACCTCTGCCTAGCCTGGTGTCTAGTCTATCGCAGTTGGGGCAGTTTTCTTGGGGGCTGCAGAAGCTCTTCCCCGCCCGACTCAGCTAGGTTCCCCGGTAGCCTGGTTTTGTACGACTTGAGTTAAATTAGCCTCACCACATTCTTTCTCTAATCAACTCTTGCCGTGCAAAACTCGTACAGGCGTAACACTCCTACCGGGTGGTCTGTTGAGCTGGACAGGGGAAAAATATTAGAGCCCCGAAGACAGCCTTCCCAAACCACGATAGACTTGATACCAGGCCTGCCTGGATAGTGATGTTTTTACCAATATACATGTAGGTCAAAAGAGGAGCTAGAAAGATAATGATGTTTTGGAGGGGTAACAGTTAGGCCTTGGCCTTAGACACCTCTACATGTAGCTCTAGAAAGTTACAAGGTTTAGAAAATAACTGGTCATAATTAGTTCTAGAATTTTTAAAAGCAGTCTGACACACCAGATATATAGTTAGCTTTAATATGTTGACGGGACTTCAAAAACAGACATTAACAAAAATCTACTCTCTGTCTTTTTCAGTTCTTCATCTTCCTGTTGCTGATCTTTGCAGCAGAGATTGGAGGGGGAATCTGGGCCTTCTTACACCAAGATGATGTAAGTTTTATAAACCTGAAAAGACAGTATGGTCACACATGTATTTGATTATGATAAAGCATTATTCCTAGCTTTATTGGGCTGAAATGCCAGCTTTTTTTCAAGTATGTAATGTTTAATATGTTTTGTCTTGCTACAGCTGACAGAATTTATCAAGTCAGATTTTGAAGACATTGTGAAGAGCAAGTACGGAGTCGACCAACATGCCTCAAAAAGCTGGGACGGGGTTCAGGAATCGGTGAGTACAATGTCATATATAAATGTCTTTCATCAGTTTCTTAGACTGGGTGCTTCCTTATTCATCTTTAGTCCTCTGCTAAAGATTGAAACTAAGACATCTATTTATGTTTATGTTTATTAGGAATCTCCATTAGTAAAACAAAGTTTGTTTACTAGTCTTCCTGGAGTCCTTTAACATTACATTTAAAAGATGAAATATAATCAATTACAAAGTTAACTTAATAGCTACAATTATATGCAACAACATCAGCTTAAATAATAGTATAACAATTAACACAATCTACATATTAACCCACATTTCAACCTTATGCTTCTGTCTTCAAGCTTCTAGCCTGAGTGTCAGCCTTTTTAGCTTTCGTAGCGGATGGTGGGGAGCAGACGAAAGCTGAAAAGGCTGAGACCCAGGCTAGTCATTGCAGTGGGCTGTTGGACTGATTTTCCTATGTTGACTCCCCTCCCAGCTGATGTGTTGCGGTGCGGCAGATAAGAGTGACTGGGCGCAGAGCACGTGGGGAAACCAGCAGAAGAACTGGGGCAGCGTGCCGCCGTCCTGCTGCGAGAACCCCGCGCCTGGCTGTGGCAGTGGCGGGATAGTGCTCATTCAGCAGATTCACCAAAAGGTGAGAGGAAATGTCTGGTATTATAGGGATGGATAACAAGCTAAGATGGACATTACAGCACATCGGCAGAACATACTGCACATGCGTGAAACCCGTAATGTATTGTGCATAGCACATAGCACAGTAGACTGACCTAGTGAGGCTTGTCACATTGCTTCTTTGAAATGTGACGTCAACACTGAGTCAAAGGTATCTGGTAGACGATGTCGACCCCATCGCGGTATATATTATGAGAACATAGCACCATCACAATCATTGGTGATACCAGTAATTTCCATTGTTGAAAAAGAGCTATTTAGAATTATCAAAGTATTTGTTTTGATATGTTTGTTTTCTCTCTGTTTCAGGGCTGTACAGACAAGTTGATTGAATTCTTCCACAAGAACCTCATGATTATTGGCTGTGTGGGCATCGCTATCGGAGTAATTCAGGTGTGTAGATTACTAGAAATATGTTTCTTTTAATTTGTTATAAATCTACAGCAAAGTAGCTAGAGTGTTTAGAGTTTGCAAATTAATTTCGTATTGTGAACAAATGTGGTAGAATGGGATCTAGAAGTAATTCATTTCATTGAGGGAAATGATCTATTCATTTATCAATTCACCTCATTCAGTAACTGTTAGATCTTTTATTGCCTTCAAATTTTAAATTTTGCTTTTTTTTGTTGAAATTTGATTTTGTTGAAGCATTGATTTAAAATTCTGGATTCTTTTTACAGTAACAACCTTATTCTTATGAAGCAAGTTTGTAATTTCCAGCACAAGGAATTGGGCTTTCATGTGTGTCATCTGCATAACTTGATGTCTACCAAATGAATACAGATGAACTTTCAAGATAAACTTTTTTCTTTTTGCCTCCCTCTGTAGCTCCTGGGAATGACCTTTGCCCTGTGCCTGTGCTGTTCGATCAGAAGGAACAGGAATAAGCACTACCACGCGTGAAGACTGCCTCCCACTAAACTACCCTAGCCTTTAAACCTAATCTCCTAGCAGATCTTTCGGTGGCTGCAAAGACAGTATGAAATTGGCCAGACAGTCTGGCCAATGGATAATACCTGGCCAATTTGATACTGTCTTTGCGGACAACGAAATATCTGATTGGAGATTATTCAAAACCAACCCTGCAAGACCACTGGGCGTGGATTCGGGCCGACAGTCAAAAGTTTGCATATTTTATGTGATAGAATTCAGAGCGAGCATTTCAACTCATAGAGAGTCATAGGCTGAAATAAGTTGATTTGCAGATACAGAGACACTTGTTGCATGCTCAATTTATGTTGATTAACAATTGTACCAGACAGTGATAGAATTCGCAGCCATAGCCATTTTCCTCAGTCAAATCAACTTTTGCAACATATCTAATCTTTGCTATGTTCTGTCCTTACTCCATTCTTCAGGGTTAAAATGATATATGCACAAATGATCACAATAGGTAGCAGTCTTTCCAGAGCACTTGAGACTTGTATAAACAGTTTTGTAAGTACATGACATTATATCAACACATATATTAACTCAGTTATGCTGAATGTCTTAGTACAATTGCAGAGCAGAGCTTACATAGTAAAGCACTTGTAAAGCTATAGATTACAATAAGGGAATACCAGGTTGATAATGAGACTTTTTCAATAAAAACTAAGCCAAAAGCCTTAACATAATGCATAATACAGGAAGTGGATTTAGATACACCAAGATTTTCATTGTTGAGATTCATTTCCTTTTAAACTAAGTTTTCTAAACAGCTATCAAGTCCAGGGTGGCGAGATTAACAGAACTCATTGGATGCTGTCCTTGGTACTGAATGATGCCGTATGGGCTGTTCCAATTTAATGGGGAAACAAATGAGTTTTGTTAATCTCCAAGCAGATCTTTAACTTTAAAGTAACCACGACAGTGGCATTTTGGACACTGCCTTGGTTGCCTAAAGACCTGCTTGCAGATGAGGTGGTTGGAGACAGCTGTAAATAGAGACAATTGTCTGTCAGAAATAAATTGGACATGGGAATTTTAAAAAATATTCCGACTGGGTTCTTTTGAAATTGAGTGACTCTCATAGCTGAATTTCATCATCATCCTTTTTACAAATGTACTATGTAGATCTAGTTACATGTACATTTAGTTTTAAGGTGACTATTATATTTAACACATCATAAATTCATAAAATATAATACTTGATCTTTTGTAGTCCATCCTATAGCTTTGTGTACAAGAAATGTTTATTGTGAGTTTGGCATTGCTTCTTGAAGTTAGTCTTTAGTGAAGTCAGGTTCAATTTCAATTAATTCCTTACTTTGCTCTTTATCAAATTCAGCTTGTCTTCCATATGGTACCAGATGACTGATTATATAATAAGAGTTTGAAGGAACTCTGAATTTTGTGCTATACTGTGCCTATGAAATTTGATATTCAAAATGTAGCAGATTATTAATCTTATGCTGACATTTAAAATTTGTACATTTTATAGGATGAAATGTGGAACAAACATTTTAAACAAATACTTGATGACAGAATATGAAATTATAATGAAGACAAAGTAAACTTTGCATTTTAAGTTAATGTATTTTAGACTGGTTGTTTGTGATTATCATAGGAAAATGTATTTAACCATATGTACTGTACAATGTAGTTACTACATATACATACAGTCACTGTGACATTACAGTTTTTGCCATTGCAGACTTAGAAATTTAGTGTAGTAAAACTTACTTATTAATGCAGAACATTTTTATCCGTCCTACAGTTTTTTAAATGAGTTTGACACCTAGAAAATGAATTCTGGGTAGAAAGATATTATGAAAGATACAAAGGTACCTTTTTAAGTTGACAAGACTTACTGTTCGTTTTTATTTTTATTTTTTGTTGTCAAAAGCACATCAACAAAGATTATGTGTGGGTACTGTAGAACCCTTAACTAACCTATTGCATTAACAATCCTATGGGATTAAAATACAACCGAATGTATTGTCTTATCCATTTATTGCAACTGTGCATGTTTGAATGGTTCAGTTTGTCACACACAATATCTGTATCTTTGTAAAAACGGACATTAAAAGTTAAAACATTTGAACAAACTTCGTATTCTTTCGATGTATTATTTCTCCACCACGAAGGTTTGATCAGAGCACACTCAGATGCAGAGTCGTCTAAATCCGACAGGTGGCGCTGCTGCTTGGTGGAAATGTGCTGCTTGCTTCAACAGAGTTGCACAACTCGAGGAAATGTAGATTATTTGTTTTGAACGTGTTTTGTAGGCATGTAGTGGTCCGTGGCGTCTTCTCCTCGCCTAAAATGACAAAAAGCGACAAAAACAAGCCTGGCACATCACCCAGAAACGTTTAAAGCAATCTTCCTTCCCAACCTCTGCTTGGAGATTAATATTATTGGTTGTCCCGTCGTCTCTTTCGCGACAGTTTTACAGAAACAGAAGAAATAGAAGGGACACGTAATAGAACGCACAACTCTTTGATTATAATTAGAGAATCTTGCGTTCCTGGTATGTAGCGAGGAAGTGTGCATCAACTTTTATTGGAAGCCATTCGGAACTGTAGAACTTCGGAGCACATACATGTAGATGAAACCTACCAGGCTTTGGGCCTGGGAGGAGGCGATTTCTCTATGCTGATTTGTTTCAATTTTGTTATAATTTCAGCATAATTTTGTATGTTTTATTTACTATCATTCTTGCTAGTAATCATTATCATTTTTATTTTATTTCATGTTATTGGACTCCAGGAAGAATAGCATGGAATTTACCATACCAAGGGGAATCTCAACAAACAAACAAACAAACAAACAAATAAACAAACAAACATGACTAGTTTACTACACTAAGTATATTGTTATATGAATTCATAAATATTTCAATGATAAAACCGGACTATTATAAGTACATAAGTACAACGTTTATACATTATTTGTCAGTCCTAGCTAAAAATGCATCTTCGCTTGATTATGCTCAGACGGCAAAAACGCTCTCGTTGCGGACCCCTTTAAAAAGGGAATTTGAATCTCGAATAATGTCAAGAATAACGTCACTGTCACTCCTAGCGAAGGAACCGTAAAGTACAACCTCCGGGCAAAAGGGTTTCAGAACATTTTATACCCTACCCATTAAGAAAAGGAGCAAAGAAACCTGAAGAAACCAAACCCTGTTTACTCAATAGGAGAATATAAGTACATGTACACAAAGGATCACAATGGAAATGCTGTAGAAGCGTTAGATGGTGAATGGGAATGGTACTCGAAAGAAATTTGTGGACTCGCAATCATGTCCTCTATTTTGACAAGACTTGATTTTCAATTGAAACACATTGATTAACGTTTAGATCTTTATGATTTCAATGTTCATGTTGATGTAGATCATGAACTGCTCCCCCCTCATTCTAAAGTGGACTCTTCCAAAAGGCATATTTTCGCCCGACCGCATTGGACCGTGGCGAAAATAATAATCGTAGCCTCAGGAAACTGGCCTCAAAATCCCAAGACTACTTATCTAGTCCACAAAGTACAGATAATATTTTTATCATTCGAGATAATGATGTATCTAATTCCCATATGACAAAAGGAGGCCCAAATCACACATTCTTTGTTAGTATACGGCACACAATGCTTCGTTACGTTTGGCTGCCACCAGGTCCTTCAAAGCCGGACACTTCAAAACAGTCGGCGCGTTCAAGGCACGCCCAGAATATTTATCGGGACACCTCAAGCCAGAAAGGTGGGTTTATTTGTTTACCTGGAGGCTCTAAGGTGGTCTGTGGCACGGTCTGAGGTATGTAGTGCCGCGTAACGCTGCTGACAAGGCCGGTTCGCTGGAATATAATACGTTCCGTGGGAACTGTCAGGCCATGAACATGGCTTTGTTGTTTTTTGGGGTAGCCCAGTCGCTAGTTGTGTTTTCCTTGTTTGCGTCTTGTTGACAAATGATGATTTGAAACGTAGATTCGCTGTTTTAAGAGTCTTGATAACGGGATTTCATAGCTGCGTTTCGATACTCCCATGTAGTATGAAATTGATTACGTGGAAAAATTGTGTGACATACACCGCTGTACAAAAATTTGATACAATGTATTGTATGTATGTTGTGATGAGCTACTTCAAGAAAGCACTTCAGAGAGTAGCTTAGTAACGTCTACTGTAACCGTTATACTAAAAAAATTCAAGACATTATGTCATTTAGGACTAAACAGGATATAATGTTAATATCATAAATATTATGGGAGAATCAATTTGTTGACACTTAAAATATTTTCCCATCAATTTTGTAACGTTAACGTTATATTATTACGAGGAAAAAAGGCAGCAATATCCTTGACAAAAGTAATTGTTGAAAGTAATATAATTTCTCTTTGAAAAAGCAAACACATTTAGAGCACCGCAATATACACAATAATGATAAACATGTCATTAGTGCATGACATATCAAATTTTTAATTGTATGCACATCGGTGGGTGTGGCAAAATTACTGACTCAACTCAAGGACTTCTTCAAGTATTTCTCAGGCGCGAAAAAAATTGAGAATTGGGTGGAGCAACATAATGCACATCCTGCTTCATGTGAGGTCACTTAAGGCAACAAACTGATCTACCTGCAGGTTGGGTTCATTGTAAAAGTACATTTCATGTCCAATATACTGTAAATCACGATTTTTTTCATGGTACTTTTATATTCACGTTTTTTTGTGGTCACCTCTGTAACCCTGAACTTATCATTACCGTGAACAGATAATTTGTTGACTTTTTGCAGGCACCTACCGCCACTGCTTATAGTTCTGTGAACATGTTAGACCGCAAACTTTTGCTACAGTGAACATTAAGTGATTTACAGTACTAATACTTTTGAAATGGAGTCACCATGTTCTGTATTTTAAAAGCTTTAACGTTACATACTAGTACATACATGATGCAGGATTGGTGTCTGTAAATATTGAAGTAACTTGTGATATTATATTACAATACATGTAAACACATAATATTTATAGAAATATACATATCATGGCATAAAACTCATTACAAGTGGTTAAAAAGGGTGTAAACACATAATATTTATTGAATATAAACACATACATAGAACAATTAAAAAGACTAAATTATATTTTGATGTCTTATGATGTTGCACATCGTGTGCACACCCCAGTTAGTACCTCAAGCTTGTATCCTTCAATAGATAATAGAAGATACTATCGGTCCCCCATGGATAGGAGGTATTTCCAAGATTTTAGGAATGAAAGTTGCTGAGGTCCAGATGTTATAAAGATCTCAAGTGAAAATGTTTTTTCTCCTTGATTTTATTGCTCAATGTATATAACGTTACTAGTATATAATATGATTCAATTGTGAGTGATGACAGTGGGAGGAAGACAGTTGAAATGGCTCGCTGAACTGAGGATGTCTGAAGTAGATATACAGGGAGTAGAAATCGAAGGGTCATTAGTAGTAGTCAGCAAATGTTTTTTTAATAAGAAGATGAAATCCACAAATTTTCACAAGAGCCAGTTCTATGCAAACATTGGTTGAGATATAATTAGAAAAAGTGGTAAAATGATCTCAAGTACCATTTATTCAATACATAATATATTATTATAAGACAGCTTGATTCTTAACATATTCAGTCTTCTTAATCCAGCCAATACGTGTTACTATTAAAGTATTATATTGTATCCAGCCATTTTCCTAGCCTTTAATAGCCTAAGGCCCCACATTATGTGTATAGTGCTGTAGCACACATGGTGTTTACACATTTTTCTATCACAATTTCACCCCAAATTCTTTGTCAGTCTTGTTATGCCAAAAATTGGGGAAAGAAATTCCAGGGTTAACCAGATCCGGGTAGCCCTTGGCTTTCCCCACAGTTGACATGAAACAAAACTGCCCAACGTGCCTGTGGTGACTGAACAGCCCTCTCTAACCATGTACATGGGTAATCCATCTAGATCACGTTACTGAACTTGGACACTGTATGTGGGAATGCTATAATGGTTTAACACTGGGCACTTATCAGTGTACTTTCCTAAGGGGGCAATGGACATGATATACAAANTACGATTAATGTTAAATGGACCCTCAAAGCAGAGTGAAATAGGCGAAAGATAGAAATGCGTGTGTGTGTGCATGTGGAGTGTTGTCTCGTGTTAATAAAGGAAACATACTCACACCCAACTACCCCATCTTCTTTCCCACAGCTCTACCAATAGAAGTCTGGTTCTTCCTCCTGCTCAATCCGGTCTCCGGGTTCACATCTTGAAGACAGAGAAACAGAAGTCAGTGTATTGAAAACAGCACTTGGCTTTTAACTTAAATTATGTCACACAACTTGCATGTTTATGACAAGAATGTAGATATAATCATAAACCTCATTCAACTTTCGTGGTTGAAGCATCAAAACCTGTGATTTTTTTGGGCAGGAAAATGGACTTACTAACAAATCAGCGAAACAAAACTATGCCCATTATTCACTCAAAAGTTTCTTTCCCTACATTTACAACTGCCCTACCTATATCACACTTAAAACTGTTTACTTTTTAAATGGCGAGCTACACTTTTCGAGTAAAAAGCTTTTTTTAGTGTCTGCCTTCGATAGTGGGAATGCCGTGTAAAGAGAATTCCAGACAGTGTAGTCTCGCTGTCATCAAATTTTCAGTTGTTGGCAGAAAACTTGACGAAAGCGGGGCTACACTGTCTGGAATTACACGGCGTTCCCACTGTTGCAAAAATTTGTGTATAAAGTGGGCCTACAAGTTACAACAGCCTGTCTACCTGCGAAATGATGACTTTTAACTTAGTCACTTGAGTGTATTATACGATCCTTGTATTAATGTTGATCTTTTGCCGAGACCACCGGGACCAGGAAAGAGATCCTGGCCCACTGTCAAGGCCATACCTGCTGGTATCTGTATCTGTATCTGTATAGCCGGTATAACCGCCTTTCGGCGTAACACACCAGCTTCGCAGGCACGCGGCGCGGCGGCAGCTGGCTATATTACACCGATCGACTTGTTACACCTAACCCTTGAACTTCTAGCTCTAGACATTGTTTAAAGCTATCTATTGACAGTGCCCCTACTGTACTTGGTGACAGTGAGTTCCACTCTGCGATAGTTCTAGGAAAGAATGAATTCTTGAACACCTCAATCCTTGGTTGATAACTCTGGTACTTGAATGCGTGGCTATTTCTTGTTCTCTTCTGAGCTGGTATTAGGTACTTAGTAGTTGGGACATCCACCAGTTTATTGGTCATTTTGTACATCATGCATAGTCTAGACATCTTTCTTCTGTCTTCCAGTGAGGTCCACTGTAGGTTTCTTTTCATTTCCGTGACACTAGCACCTCTTACATAGTTGTTCATACAGAATCTTGCAGCTTGATTCTGTACCCTTTCCAATTTGTCTTTGTCTTTCTTTGTATATGGATCCCATACTGTCGCAGCGTATTCTAGGTTCGGTCTTACAAGTGACGTGTATACAAGTGATTTTACTCTCGTTGGACATGCCCACAGATTACGTTTAATCACTCCCAATGTCTGTTTCGCCTTAGTTGTGATATTATTAACATGTGCACCCCACTTCAGTCCGCTTGTCAGCGTGACGCCCAGATACGGATGGATTTTTGTGGTTGCTAAAGCCTGACCACAAAACTGGTAGCTAGTTGCATGTGGTGTTCGTTTGTTTGTTATGTGCATAATGTAGCATTTTTCGGGATTAAACTGCATGAGCCATTTGCTTTGCCATTCTTCCAGGGTGTTCAGGTCTTTTTGGAGAAGTTGTGAGTCGGTCTGTGTAGAAAGCTCTACATACAATAGACAGTCATCGGCAAATAACCTCACATTTGAGTCAAGCTGATCTGGTAGGTCATTTATATACAAGAGAAAGAGCAATGGCCCCAGGACGGTTCCTTGAGGGACCCCAGACGCTACTTTAACTGGAGCCGACGCCTTCCCTTCAACCACTACTGTTTGCTCCCTGTTGGTCAGGAAAGCCTTTAACCAATTCAGCGTAGGGCCTTGGATTCCATAATACTCCAGTTTTAAAATGAGCCTGCCATGGGGGACTTTATCAAAGGCTTTAGTGAAATCAAGTATCGCTAAATCTACCTGCCGTTTACTGTTTAGTGCGCCAGCTATGTCATGGACTGTTAGTATAAGCTGTGTTTCTGTGGATCGTTTGGCTCTGAATCCATGCTGGTAATCCGTTAATATACTGTAACTTTCTAGGTGCTTCATGATTTGGCTATGGATGATATGTTCAAGTAGTTTGCAGGATATGCAGGTCAGTGAAACAGGTCTGTAGTTGCTGGGGACCGCTCTATCTCCTTTTTTAAAGATGGCGCATATATTTGCATCCCTCCAATCTTTAGGGATTTCTGCAGTGTTTAGCGAGTGTTGGAAAATATTGGTTAGAACAGGCGCGATTTCACTAGCTGTCAACTTGAGGAACCACGGTGGTATTTGGTCTGGTCCGGATGCTTTAGAGGGATTGAGACCTTGAAGCATTTTTTCGACACCATCAGTAGAAACTACTATATGTTCCATTGGAGGAGTACAGGGCTGACCTAGAGATGGCATATCTGTGGTGTCTTCCTCTGTGAAAACACTTTTGAACTGTGAACTGAGTACTTCTGCTTTTTTCCCACTGTCACTGATGATGGTATTTCCCACCTTTAGGGGTGCTACCCCGACAAGGTCTTTCCTCAGTCCTTTTATGTACGACCAGAATGTTTTGGGTTTGTCAACTATAGCTTCTCCCAGTATGTCTGCCACGTATTTAGAGTGTGCTTGTCTTATGCTTTTCTGAACTCCCTTCTTAACTCTCTTATATTTGTTCCAGTCTTCCTCTTGGCCTGTTTTCTTAGCTTTGTTATAGAGCCGCTGCTTCTTACGACAGTGCCTCCTTAGGTTTCTGTTGAACCAAGGCAAGTTGTATCTGCTTGATGTTATCTTACTTGGGATGTGCTTGTTCATCGTGTCTTTCATTTTGTCTTTGAAGTCTGACCACTTCTGTGTAACTGACATATCCTGAGTTCTTTTGTGAAAGTTATTTGCATAATCCGTTAGGTCTTTCTTAATGGCTGGTTCGTCGGCTTTTGTGCGGATGTACACTTTTCTCTTAGGTTTCCTGTTTTGTTTCAGTGCCAGGTTAACGTCCACTAGAACCATGTCGTGGTCACTTATCCCCGGGACTACTGTGGTCTTCTCAATTATGTTGGGGTTATTAACTAAGACCAGGTCCAAGAGATTACCATTTCTAGTTGGTTCCTGGACTGTTTGAAATAACCCGTGGTTATCCATTAGGTTTAGTAGTTTCTCTGCTTGGCCTGTGTAGGCCTGACTGTTGTCAGCTACAGTAGTATCCCATTTGATGCCAGGGGTGTTGAAATCGCCAAGAATGATCACATTGTTAGAGTTTATTTTTGCTCCCATTTTACCTATAGACCTGTCAAGTTCATCCAGACTATTGCCCTGGTCTGATGGGGGTCTGTAGTATGTACCTATTATCAGTGGTTTCCTTCCTGCAAGTTGAGTTTGTGTCCACAGAACCTCGCAGTCTGTGTCAAGGTCTGGCCTATGGGTAACAATTAGATCATCTCTGTTGGCCTGAAATACACCACCTCCTTGGCCAGTTTGTCTGTCTTTCCGGTGTGCTATGTGCTAATTACATAGTTCCAAATTTATCAATTCTAAACTCTATATTTGTACATTTACTAGTATCACATTTGGGATAGATAACAGCACTTCTAATCAAACATAACACCACATGTCCCTGAGGTTGCACTATTTATATACAGCCGTGTCATGTTTACCTTTGGTCAGGGGGTGGTGCTACAAGGACATAGTGATGTCACTCCTAAGCCCTTACTGACGTGTATCACTACATGTGTATGATCAGGAATTTGCTCTGTGGTAAAAATTGACCAGGTATTCAGGTGATGTATCAATTTACGTATTATATTTCCACTCAAGATATTTATAATTATGATGATGGTGTTTGATCCTTTAATCCTCTGACATGTGGACTGACACAATATTGTTTGGGTTTCAGAGTCAACAGACTGACTGAAAGAAGGTCATTAAGGTTGGTATTTAAGTAAAGGATATACAACTGTTTAGTAACTGTTGTTTTTTAACACATTTAACAACTGTTTGTTCCAAATAAGATTTAAGCTTCATTATGGCATTTTTGTTTTGTTTTCTTCGCTATGTAGTTTTGATCTGAAAAAAGCATTGGACAGAAAAAAATAATGTGCTTATTACTATAAGGATCCTTTCCTCATAAAGGATCCTTTCCTCATAAAACATATTTTAGAACACAGTATAAAGTTGGGGTCATAAATACAAAACAAACAGTGGACATAAAATGAAAATGGCTGGCACACCAATATAGAACCTAAAACGAATTAAACGTATAACCTATGGCATACATTGTATGTGGGTTTAACAGTACTAGTGTGCAGAAATTTTTTGTGTTGAAATATATTGTGACAATATATTTCATACATATACACTGTCAGTATGTCACTCTTTTTTGATGAATTGGAGATGAAACATAGGTCTTGTGATTGTTTGATTGTAGGCACTTTCTATTGTAAACAGGATCTTTTTCCAATTGTAAACAGTTTCCATAACAGTTAAGTGTCTGTAGTGTTTGGGGATCAAGCCCTGACCAGTTGGCATAGTGTCAGGAGGTGATGAGAGATCCCAACACATGATACGCATGTGATAAGTCTTCGCTAGCTTCCATCTTAATCTAGCTTCAGTCTGGTCCTTCCATTGTTAAGTAGTGTTGTTTAAGTGTTTGAAAGGCATATTGCAAATAGGTATAATCATCCTCAAAAAAAAATCTGATTGGTCTCGAAATCATGTCTTGAATGACCATTTCAATTTCACAAGAAATCATTGGATGACCACTTCAGAAATTCAATATCAACACAGACTCAGTGTATTAATAATATATCAATATCAATGAGTTGAGAAATGTGACTTTATAAGTTGTATATAATCTACTAGACTAAGTATATATTTTGTTCAGTATGTGCAGTGTTATCTACTGTGCCTGCACGACATCTGAAAATTTTCACGTTTTTCGTTGGAAGTTTGTTCAACATTGCATTTGTGAATTTTGCTGTCTTTTATGAAAACATTTGACAACTATAGACAGAATGTCATCTTTGATACATGAATTCGACTTTGATTAATGACACGTCATTTTGCCTGCCAAAGTGTTCACGTAAGGTACATTTACCAATTTTGTGCAGGTACAGTATGTTTTCTTTTGGGAGCAGTACAAATTAGTTCAAATTCACCTATGATAGAAGTCTTGCGTACAAACTGAAAATGCAGAGGGTTAAGAAATGTGGTTATGTTACTACTAATACTAGATCATAGAATCATCTTTTGGGATCACATTGACAGGTGCAGTTGCCTTTTTGGTGCTTATCAGGCTTGCATACCACTGACGCATAACTGATGAAGTGTCTTTATCTTTTCTATGATATTGGAAAATTAAATATTCATGCATTACAAATGACTATGAATTGTAGAAGCTGTAATATATGACATGAATACTTTATGTCTAATAATGGTTAGCATTATCACTGGCATCAGTACTTATTGTGAAAATGCCCATAAAAAAATGTTTTTCATTAGTACTTTACTGTAAAGATTATACTGTAGGGAAACGGTTACATGCAAACTACTATGGGAATGCATGCACTGTATGTAGATACACATGCTTGTAACATATTTCTTTAGTTTTGTGGCATTATCAAATCATGGTTAGCATTTTGAATTTGATGAAATGATCATTCTGATAGTAACATTTTTTTCCAATCAGATTACATATAATTACTCAAACTGTCAGTAAATCAGAAGCATTATACTTGTCAGTAGCTTTACAGTCATGCCAGTTAAACAGCTTTACTGAAATGTTACTGAAATGAGACTGTAGTCACATATCAGTATTCGACCAGTTTTTGAGGGTAGCCTCAACTTTGAAAACAATTTATTAAGTAAACATTTGTTTTTCCATGATCATAATCTATTACATTAAACATGATAAATATACAATGTACTAGCCTTCATATGTAAGTGGAGCATTTGCACAGTTGCCTTTCTATCAGACTGTTTCGTAAATGCATCCAAAGCGAGAAATACTACTCCTCAGTTTTGTATAAGTGAATTAAGTGCTGCAGGCTATTGTTAAAATTTTCCATCCCATCATATCACGTTACAAGCCCTCTCTCCAGCTTGATTCTGAAGTGTTCTGTCATGAATACACCGGCCCTGTTTGTAGTTGGTTGTCGGTGGCAACAGACGCCACTCATTAATGCTCCATACAATTACACAGGAAAATTGCGATTGATTTGACAACATAATAAATTATTGTATGCAATGTATTTTTTTTTTTTGCCTCTTCTAGTTTTACCTAGAAGGACTAGGAATTTGTGCACTAATCTATTGTAACAATTCACATTAAGTCCATTCCTAGCAATGCACCTATATACATTATTACTAGTACTACCCACATCTTTGCCTCTGTAAAAATGAAAGCGTCCCCGACGGAGAAACGCCCGTCCGGCACCGTCCCTGCCCGTCCTTAGCGGGAAACGGCGTCCTGACCGTCCCAGCACAGTTGGCAGCGTGTCCAAACTCCGGCCGGACGGCGTCCCAGAAATTAGTGACGGCACCCCGTCGCTCCCAGCCCGTCCTGAAGCGTCCGGCATGGAAACGGGCGTTTATTAATTAATTGGCACCGGCAGTGGCGTGCTTAACGATGTTTCCCACGGGGTTTTAGGCTTTTAACGCACATGCGCCAAGTTTGAAGGCGCTAGATTTAACCGTTAGACCGGGCTGGCTGGGGAAACACGTCTCCTCGGTTGATCTGAGTTTTTTTCCGTTTTGTTGGATTGTGTGCAATTTTGGAGAATGGATTTCAGTTATACAAGCAGCTATATCGTTCGACGATACTGCACACAAGTTTGGATAGCTCCAGCGACTGACTAAAATGTCAAACGAGGTGTTCCAAGAATGTAAACAGCGGCTGCCAGAATTTCGGGTGCACCGAAGCAATCTGTCTCAGCGGTTTTCTTTTCGAGGAGACTCGGTAAGTGGACAAGAATTTTCTGTTGTCAAATTTTACAAAAGAACTGTGTAAGACAGTGTTACAATTGCTACAACAGCAGAACAAGTTAATTTCTGGGGCAGATTTGTTGTCATTATTTGTTCATCGTCTCCGGGCCGAGTGCCGTGCCCTCCCCACAATTGCGACATGCGCCGGGCTGGTAACGGAAATTTGATGATGATGATGCAAAGTAAAAAGATGCACACGAACGATTTGTAGAATAGATGTATACAATACCTGCTGTTTTAATAAAGAATGATGATGCCGTAAAAATGTTCACGCTATGAAAAATCTAACTTAAATCCGGAGGCAAGTTCCCGCAGTTCGGCCGCCTGTGTGTCCCGACGTCACGGATGCCATCTCCAAACGCAACCGTCAATGTTGTTTTGATACGAAATTTTCAAAAATGCACGAAAACAACGTAGAATACAACTGTACAATATCTGATATTTTAATAAAGGAAGATGATGACGTTAACATGTCCACTTTGACAATAGTTCACTTATACTATTTTTGCACCCTGGCCTTTATGTTTGTATGTGCTCACAATGGTGCCGATTTTGCCAAGTTTCCGTCACATGTTCGCCGCTGTTCAACATTTTGTCACGCCGCAGACTGAATATTCTTGAAGAAAATCGTTGTCATTTGATCATGATTTTCTGTATTTACTTGTATTTAATCCCGGAGTGTTAGGGCAACTGTTACAAAATTATGTGGGCGGCCGTTACCTGATTCGATGCCAATCTGCAATTGTTTAATATCGGCGGCTTCTGTGACGGGACGCCGTCGGAAACGCCGTCCCAACCCCGTCGGAGCGGCAAGATCACACTGTCCACAATGACTGAGCACCCCCCAGAGACCCGTCCGGCCGTCGGACACGCCGTTTGTATCCCACCTGTGCCGTCCCAAGCGTCGCCCGGACCCGCCCTGGAGCCCGTCCGGCAGCCCGTCCGGGAGCCCGTTCGGTTGCCCGTTGGAAACGCCGCCCAAACGCCGAAAGAAACGCCCGGACGGCGTCGAAAACGGACAGTTCTGACGGCGTCCCAGGCGTTTGAGGCGTCCTGGCCCGTTTTTGGCCTTTGTCAAGGCGTCCGTTGCCGCCGTTTACCGCCAGGGACGGGCAGCCGTCCCAAGCAAACGGCCACCACAAACGGGCGTTTAAACGGGCGTTTCTCCGTCGGGGACGCTTTCATTTTTACAGAGGCGGCCACTATAATTCATATAATTATGTAAAACACGATATATTTGTCAGATTCATCATTGTTCAAAGGATTACTTCATAGTCACCATTACTAATAATACACATGGCTACGTATCTACTTGTACAACTGTTATGCATGGCTTCCATCCAAGCTGGTTGAGATGAAGATTTGTAGAGGAGTTGCAGGAAAGCAGTGTTCTCCTGGTCACACCAGGCTTGGCAAAGGTTCAACATCCATGTTTGTTGAAACAGATCTATACTGTATTAGACAGTAGTGCCTTATCTGTGATTTAAACTGTCACAGTTGGCTGCGTGTGAGCTTATATCATGCCGGGTTCGGTAAAGGAACTCATAGGTTTGTTCTTTCCTCTCTATTTCTTATAGTAACTGTGAGAGATAACCAAAAAAAATGTCATTAAGTAAATCTGTCAAGTGCTTCTTCTTGCATCTTTGTCCTCAATTACATAATTCCCATATGATTTATTTATTTGATGATTTGTTTTGTACTGGGGTACATTTTGAATAGTCCACATTTGATTGGGAGGGAGATATAGTGAAATATGCTGTATTTGCTCCCAAGCAAATGTCGGCCTTTCTAGTGTTGGTAGGATTTGTGTATGCTTGCCTAGCAGAGATGGTTGCAGGGAGAGTGGGTGGATATTGGTTACTAATGATTGACAGGGAGGTTAAGGCTCATCATGTGTTGGTTGGGAGTAAGTGGGCGGTATGTGGAGGAATTGAGGAAGTGGTGTATTACCTGATTACATTACATCATACAATCCCTTCTACAGTTCCAATATTACACTCATGAAAACTCTAACTACTTCCGTGAGGTCTGTGAAGTTGAAGGTCACAGAAAAAGACAATATATTTCTACCAGAAGTATGAAATCTCCAATTTCTTGTTCATCTGTTACAGTAACTCAGATATTGTTGTTTATCAATTTGTCATTGAATTGAATGGACCACCCAGAAGGCTGACAATTAATCAATCAATCAATAAATAAATAAAATAGATAAATGAATATTAGAAGAAACACAAATTCATATTATGCTAAACTGTGATTTCCTTTGTTTAGTGGATCCGGTGTGAGGAGTCTGTTTGGTGGTACCTGTGAGTTCCTGTCATAGATCACCAAGGAAGAGCACACCATTATCTAAGGTAAGTCAATGTCTCAAATTATTCCAAATTGTCACATCCCTGTAGCTACAGTATTATGTAGAAATAAAAATTATTAATAAGTACCTGTACTATCAAAATGATCACCAAATTTTTCAGTCACATCATCTTGTCTCAGTACCGTATTCTAAACTAGTAGCCTCTACCAGGCTTCTGAAGTGGCTGGAAAGAGTAGAAATCGGCCAAATAGACACAACTGTCATGTACAGATAACAATTGCCATTGGGGAGTTGGTCCTATAAAGGAGTACATTTTGCGGCAAATTTTATTAAATTACCTATTGGTTTGGTAGCAGATCAAATCTGTCTTTATTTGGCCATTATTTCTACTCTTTCCAGCCTCTTCCAAAGCCTGGTAGAGGCTACTAAACATCCAGAATACATGTATAATGTTTTCAAGGTGACCATGACTTTATGACACTTGAGTTTTCTCCCCACCAAAGGCACTACCACTCTATGTGTAAATTGTAGTGGCTTGATGTATTTGATGGCTGCTGGCAGTGTTCACCTGCCATAGAGAGATCTTGTCTCCCACCACCAGAGGGTTATTAAACACTCTACTGCCAGCCCAGTTTTGCACAGGGTTTTAAAAGGGTGGGCAGGTTTTTGGCTTTATGAGGGCCTGTATGCCCTTTTTCGTAAGGCGTAATCAGGCCTTTTTAGTCTTTGTAATCCGTAGGCAGCTTCCCCAAAAATCAACGTAATTCGTAATGGTACATTAGCCACAGAGTGTAAAGTTGTAATCAGCTCTGAGACTTGAACGTAATTGAGAAAATTTTGCGTAATTCATAATCACTACCCCCCATGCAGGCCCTCCTTTATGATGGTGACTCCTTGGCATAAGTCAAGGACAGCACAGGAAAAAATGCAATTCAAATTCAATACTTGCAATGTCGGTAATTGTATAGTATTACATTGTATATTTACAGGTGTCTAATATGTGTCATGTACAATGTTTATGAAGCATTTTTTTCTTTATGTTAGAAGATATTTTACCTGCGTTGTCTGTTAAAGCTACCATAGGAAAATTTCATAGCTCATTTAAAAACACGTCTGACATTTTGTTGGAGCAAATTTTCGTACTTAATCAAAGTGACAATCAGTCTAGAAGGATGCTTTGAGAAACACCCTTTTCTACAAACCTTGTACAAATGTAATTTGGATATTTTTCACCTACAATTTATTGCAGGTTTCTTAATTCAGTGTATGCAGAAAAGAAGTATTTGGAGCCCTGGTATCTTGAGCCTTGGCTCACACAGTAATAAGTACTATAAGTACAGTAAAGACCTCCTGGAATTTAAGATGACAAGTAACGCTAGCAGCACTCTGACCGTCTGAACCCAAAATAGGCGTGGCTCCTTACCAAATCATGTTCAGCCCTTCCGGCCAGAAATTCAGCACATACATGTAGTCAGCAACTCTCTTATACAGAACACCAGCTTCATATCTTTATTTCCATCAGTAGCACTATCCATGGCATCCGAAATGACTGATGATAGAGATAGAACTTGCCAAGATAGCTTACTGGTTAGGGAAGCACACAATGCAATCACTGAATATGCCAGGTATATATAATGAGTGGGAAAAAAAGCATAAGGTTGTTTTGCTTCATGATCCCTCTATATATATATTCTGGTTCTCTTTCAATAGGATAGTCCAATGCTGCAAAATTAATATTTATAGCTTCTTAATGTACATTGTATACATGCATAATGAGGATATAATAAAATGGAATTGGGGTTAAAGAAAGTGCAGATCATAGATATCGATGTAGAAGTGCAGTGCTAACGGTAGGTGCAATTCCTTACCACAGTTTTTATTATAAATTATTGAATTATTTTTTATGTCCTTAAATATGTCCTTTGTTTACTATGTATGATATAAAGTGATTCATGTATTATTTTAGGCCAAATGTATGCAAACATATTCTGATAATAAAATAAAGGCAATTGTTACCTCTGGTATATTAATATAATATTAGACATTAGACATTTCATTGCATTTGATTTATCAATGTAAAAAAATGAAATTGAGCCCTGGTATGCATACTGAATATATGCGTATGAAATGCAGAGCTTGAAGATATTTAATATTTGTCCTTCATGGCATTGATATTCAATCATAAACTAATCAGTATACAATTCAGCAATACGCTATTTTTCTATGTACTAAATAAACAGTATGTAAAATGTACAAAATGTATATTTTACAAGGTTGGAAAGTCTGTGTCCGTCCATTCCATGTTGTTTATTTAGTTCACCCTGCCACGTCAACGTTACCCCGGGACTAACCTTACACATCTAATATTCATGCATAAACGAAGGAATAAATCCTTGCTGTTTCCAAGCCGTACATGTATGTGCCTCGTTGGCCCGTAGCGATCTGTTACACGCTTGGTTTTCCGCACTGGGACTATTTCCTCGCTATTAGTATTCAGGTTGAGCCGCAGAATCTGGATATCTGGAGGGACGGTCCATTGGATACCACCTGATAGGGTAGTGATATTATAATTATAACAGAAATATGATGAGATTTTTGCAACAAGATATTGTAGTTTTGGTGTCCTGTGTGGGTGTAAGTGACATCCGGTCTGAATGTTCTAAATTCTATCCCTGTACAGTATAGGTTGGGCATCATATTTTATAAATGTAAACACATTCAATCATTGTGAAATGTTGAACTTTATTCCAACACACAATTTACAAAGAGAGGAAATTTTCAGATCAAACATTCAATCATTGATAGCTCTTTTCCAGAATGCCTGCTATTACAATATAGAATATAACATTTCTGATTTGTATCTTCATGTACATGTAGATAGGTAGACAAGATGGCAAAGTTGTCTTGTGGTTAGGGTTACAATAAATGTTGACAGAATCTGAAGGTTCTGGGTTCAAATCCCGGGAAGGCCCAGGTGAGTGTTGTCCCTTTGGAAAGGCACTTTACACCAGTCCTATTTCCTTATTTGACTCAGGTGAAAATGAGTCTTCTCTTATAGGATGTACATTTTGTAAAGCCTTAGGTCCAGTACTTGAACGTCACACCTCAAAGATCCCACCACACTTATCGAAAAGAATAGGCGTCCTTACCAGAGTTAGTGGTTCAAGCCTTACAGTCTGGTCTAAGGGTTGACATTTTGAAATGGTGATACATGTAGTCACCTGTTATATGTTACTAGTAATCCTTCCACAATGTGTGATAAGGCCACACCAATTTAATTTCTTGGTTAACATATTTTTCTAGAAAAATAATGGAGCAGGCGGGTGAAAAAATAAAAATAAAAACAGGCCTAGGCATCCTATTATGGTCCAAAATGGTACGATAGGAGCCATGAAGTCAACATACCAGACTGGTTCAAAATTTAAACAATGAATTTTGAACTTTTAATGATACCACTGCATTGAAAGATGGAATAACTGTAAGAAGAAAAGGACTGTTTTCAACTGTTCATGGCAAAATATGAGAATTTTGCAGTTGATTATGAATTTTTATTTTTATTTGCAAATCAGAAAAATGAAGTGGGCAAATCCGTTAACCAAGAAATTAAATTGGTGTGGCCTAAAGATATATTAAAAATATTATAATAATATCATATGACAAACAATGAATTCCTCTGGCCTGGCCTGATCCTGACCTGAGAGAATTCCCAGCAGTTTTGTCTGAAATGATCCCTATAGATGCTCTCTTCACCACAGCAGATACAGTTTCCCCAGAGACTAAATTTTTCATAATCAAATCTGAAGGCTTGTAATTATGCCATCATTATATTGGCTTCACCATGTGGGTTTGGCCTCCTTTTGGGTACACCACATATTAGATAGAGGCACGCCTATCGACAAAAGAGAACACTTTAGATCAACGCTATATAGTGCTGTATTCTTAAATTACCATTTTTCAATCTAACCATTTCTTAATCACTTTTTTTAAAAGTAGCATAAAATAGGTAAAACTCTTATTTGGTATACAACAGTAATGGTAGAGGCACACCTATCTCCAAAAGAATTAATAATATTTACACCTAGAACAAGTACTAGTGGTCAACAAGTACATAATGTATATAAACTTAAGGCAGATTAATTTAAAATTTCAATTGATTCGGCCATGATGTATTCTTGAATACATTCATATTTCATACATTGTACAACAATAACTGAACAAGGTTTCTAAAGAACAACATGTATAACAGGCCTTTTGACAAGCTGCTTTTTTATGCCTCCTCGATCCTCCCCCATAATCATTAGTGTACGGTCCCTAAGGGTTGGGTCGGCTCATGCAAGATGGCGGGGCAGTAGGAGATGTGCTGCTCCTAGCTCACAAACCCTCACACTAACAAGGTAGGAAAGCTGTGTTATTATAGGACCTGTTCGGAATTCTATGGTGCGGGAATTCGCATTGTAAACCCTTCAGGTACGATTTGCAGGTACACGTGTCTGTGGATGCGCAAGAAATGTGTGATGTGTATACATTCAATTTTTACCAGTAATTCCTCCACATAATTATTTACAATATCACAAGGTAAACTGCATGTAAATGCATCAGTCCTACTACATGTACATGTACATGTATATCGACTTTGGTTGTAAAGGGTCCAGACAATAGCATTGTGTTTTCACATTGTGTCGATTAAGGTATGTGTTACGTGGGGATTTCTCGTATTTTAAAGGAATGGGTTGAGCAAATTGAGCCGATACGTGGTTCCAATGTCATTATATTTCGTACAATTCTTGTTCCATCACGTCCCGGCACGATCCATACCCGCTAACCGAGTGGTTCATAAAAATCCGCTCGCAGCGGTACATCGGGACAAGCTCAACGATTTCTGCGCGTGGCAAAGGTCCAGTACCTCTCTGGGTGTCGGCGCTGGTCGGATCGTCATTTAGCGGCTTTAGTTGATGTAAATCAATTTCTGCGATGCAATATAGCGCAGTAACGGCCTCGTATAGTCCCTGGTGATAAAACCGGCCCGGGTAGAACATGCCTTAT